GCCACGGCGGAGGCGGGAGCCGCCTGGAACGGAAGCAGAGCACAGGGCCGTGAGCTGTCCCCCGGCCCACGTGGGGACCCAGGGGCTCTCACCGTGGAGTTAACTGGAGAGCAGGTGGCGAGGCCGGCGAGCATCGCGTCCATGTTACAAAAGAGGGACCCGAGGCAGACGCGGGACCGCATCCCGCAGGTGGTGGTGACTCAGCTCTGGGAGGCACGGCTCCCGGGTGGCTGGGCTCCGGCGCCCCCTGCTCATCCGGCTGACACGGCCACGCCCTGATTGCGCTCAGGTCCGAGGCAGGTCGCACACACGCACACAAAGGACTGGCTGGGCTGGTTCGCTGACAGCTCGTGGCCGCGCATGTGCATGCCCGGGTCCGACGCAGAGGACACGCCCCTTCCACTGGGCAGCCTTCCCCACCGTCCCTGGTGCAGAGGGTCCCTCCCCGAGTCCCCGAGCAACTGGACCTCACACCACCCACTGCTCCTTCCCTGGAGCTAAAGTTCAGATCACAGGAGAGGCCAAACGACATATTCCCCAGTTACGGGGGGAGGGGGCGGGGGGGGGGCAGGGGGGGGTCCCTGTCATTCAGGGAGGGAAAGCCCACATCCTGGAAGAACAAGCAAAGAATCAGCAAAGGGAGAACCCTCAGCGCCTCAACCCTCAGCATTGGGCTCTGCACCCGCCTGGAGCGTCAGAGACAAGAGCTGAGTCCGTTCTGTGTGACCCCGGCCCAACCCCGACCCTCAGAATCGGCCTTCCCCCCGCCCCCCAGTGGCCGGCGACAGAGTAAATGGTCCGATCGGCCACTGGACACCGGGAGCGGCCACAATACACGAAGGAAGAGCGATGGACACTAGTGAAGAGATGATTATAAATCTGTTGCCTTTTTTGCTGCTGTTAACCCTCACCCAAGGTTATTTTTCCATTGATTTTGAGAGAGAGTGGGAGAGGGAGAGAAACATCAATGTGAGAGACACACCCATTGGTTGCCTCCCGCACGCACCCGTTTGGGCTGGTGATCAAACCTGCAACCCAGGTACATGCCCTTGACTGGGAATCAAACCCATGACCCATCCGTGGTGTTCTAACCACTGGCCCACACCGGCCAGGGCCTAAATCCATTGCCTTCAAAAAATGAAAGTATTATAACTGTATTCAGAAAACTGGCCACTGAAACACTGCAGGGATTCAATCACATCTAGGTGACTTTTGTAAACAGTCACCTATAAACCCAGTTTATTACAGAATCAAAAATAAAACCCAAGCTTCCAGGCTCCTTGTGTAACCCGCCTGGTCTAAGGTTTCACACTGGAGGATCCTGGTGCCGAGTTTTCCAGCGCCGCAGTCCTTGGTGCTTTAGTTGCGATCAATACAGCTCTCTCCTGGGTGAAATCTCGCTCAGTTACACGTGTATCCATTTCCCCCCCTTTTGTTTCTAGCCTCTAACGAGAGAGGATGCTTAGTGAGCTATCGATCACTGCTTCACAAAGACTTCAGCCAGACAATTAGGCCCGTGGCAGTTCAATGGCCCTTTATCAGCCTGCATGCTCTCCCAAGCAGGCCAGGTGGCACCTGCAGGGGGACCCTCCCTCCCCAGCCCCTCCCTAACACTGAGGAGCCGGTTAGATGCCCGCCCACCAGGGGACTCCAGAGGCAGAGGTCAGATCTGTTACTCTACAGCAGGGGTCCTCAAACTACGGCCCGCGGGCCACATGCAAATACAAATATTGTATTTGTTCCCGTTTTGTTTTTTTACTTCAAAGTAAGATATGTGCCGTGTGCATAGGAATTTGTTCATAGTTTTTTTTTAAACTGTAGTCCGGCCCTCCAACGGTCTGAGGGACAGTGAACTGGCCCCCTGTTTAAAAAGTTTGAGGACCCCTGCTCTACAGCGTCTTATCCTGCCAAACTCGCAAACTGAAAAGGAAAACGGTGCGTTGGACTGTTCCCATTTAGGCTTTAATCATAATAGCGAACAATACACGAAAGGCCAAGGAACAACCTGGACTGTGAGCAGGTGTGTCGTGGAACAGGCGTGTCACACAGCATTCACCGGCAAAGCGCACAGAAAACTGACCCCTGACCCCGGGGACTGCACGGAGCCGTGGCCCAGCAGACGCGTCCACACCCTGACCCCTGGACTCAGCGGCTGGGCCTGACTTGGAAAAGGGGTCCGTGCAGATGGAACGGATGAAGTACTGCGAGATGAGGCCCCCAGGCCAATGCCGAGTGTCCATGGAAGAGCAGGACAGAGAGGCAGGGACACGCGGAGGGAGGCCGCATGCAGACAGGGGCAGAGGAGGGAGCCACGGAGGGCCCCCAGCCAGTGCGCTCAGTGGTTAGAGCATCAGCCTGCGGCCCAAAGGGTCTCGGTTCAATTCCCGGACAAGGGCACGTTTCTTGGTTGTGGGTTCGATCCCCAGCCCCAGGTGGGCATGTGTGGGAGGCACCCAACCGTGTGTCTCTCTCATACCAGTAGCTGTTTCTCTCTCCTCACTCCTCCTTCCCTCCCTCCCCCTCTCTCTACCATCAATGGAAAAAATATCCTCGGTGAGGGATACAAAAAAATGCAGGAAGTGGCCTCATCCTTCAGAATCACTACGGCTGGATAACGTGCGTTACCGCGATCCTGACGGAGCCGTGAACATGTGCTCCCCCAGCAGGTGCGTCAGCACAGGCGCGGATGACTGCGTCACCGTTCCCGCAGGAAGAGGTTTCCGAGCCACACCCGCTGCCCTCCGCTGCTAACGTCACCCACTGCTCTGACGGGAAAAGTCAGTGTGAACCGAGCGGGGTCTTACGTTGCCATCCACTCCCGAGGAGCTGCTTAGCACGTACTCCAGCTGGAAGACGACGGCGAAGGCGGGGTGATGGACCATCTCGGGGAGTCGGAGGTGGCTCCTCAGGACCAGAGCCTGGTTTCCAGAGCTGGTCAAGGACACAGGGCGGGGCGCGGGGGGGGCGGGGCGAGTCAGGCATGGCTCTGGCAGCACGCCCCCCTCCCCCCCTCCCCGGGCACTGCACTGAGCTCCTCTGTGTTGGCTCCCAGGGTGACTCCCTAAACCAGGGCCTTTTACTGGGGCCACAGTGAGCAGGTTTTAAACTGCCAGAGGTGTCGGAGGGTGGAGGGATGCGGCCAGGCTCTGGGAGGCTCCACCTCCAGGGCCGGCTCTGCCCACCTGGGGGGGTGGGGGGCAGCCCTTAGAGACGCCTGGTCCTGGGCTGGGAGGCACAGCTGGAGCCCAGCAGCAGGAGGACTGTCTCCTATTCTCCTCGTGCGAGACACTGAGCTCAGGGCGCACAGGGGAGCAGCAGCGTCTGCACAGACTGCAGGCGGCCATCGTGGGGAGCGGCCCCCATACTAATTCCAAAACTCACAGCACAAAACAGGACGTACCCAACCTCCCAACACCGAGGGCGGCTCCAAACGAGTGGGGCTTAGCGAGAGGAAACCAGGCCCCGGGGAAGGCCCGGTGGGCGAGGGCACACCTCACCGAGGGAACTTCACGTGGGTGCCCGCTCACTCCTCCCCGGGCGGGACTCGGACCGGGAGCGTACCTGGACTTGGAGGAGGAGCCGACTTTCCTGCTGAAACTGGCAGAGCGCGTCAAGGCCACGTCCATCTCGGGCACCAGCACCATGACCTGCGGCCTCTGCACGAAGCCCAGACCGTTGTGCGCACCGACACACAGACGCCGCTCGGCGATCTCCAGGGCGCTGCTGTCCAGCGGGCCGTCCCCCTGGGAAGAGCACAGGTCAGACAGCAAGAGCCTGGGCGGGAGGGGAGAGGGGGCTCACAGGAAGGCTCCTGGGGGAGGCGTGAGCAGAGAGGAGAGCCGGGGACAACTTCAGGCCTTTGCAGGTCACACGGTGCTTAGTGGCAGAGCCCCAGCAAAGGGCAGACACGTCAGCCAGTGGGAACTGGCTGGCCGAGGGCACTTCCTAGGCAGCGTGGGGTTCTCTCACAGTGCAACCTTCTCAAGCAATGCACCCCCGATGCCCCGTCACCAAACTCTTGCCGTTCCCAAGGCTGAGCCGCCATTCTCAAGATGCGCCAAACTGGCAGCCGGGACTCGGCGCCCCTCACAGGACCGGGTGCTCTGAGGCAGGGGAGCCCCACCTCCCACCCCCGAGGAGGAGGCGCCTAGAGGCAGGTCCTGAGGTGTCCCAGCCTCCGCCTGGGCAGGACGCGGCACAGGAGACGGGGCAGCAGGAAGAGGGAGCCTATTCGGCAGTAAGTCATAAACCAATAACAACGGAATCGAATCTGCCCCGAAGTGAGGGCTGGATATTAAAGTGTTTCATCTTAACAAAACTGTGCAGGCGCCGGAACGAACGAGCCAGGACGGCCTCCGGGCTATTCCTGGTATTAAACTGGTGATCGCTGCCAACCATCCCGGAATTTCACTGTCCCTTCCCCAAGCGGAACGGCCCTAAACGCAGCCGTTAATCCTCGAGTAATGAAAACAAACAGCAGGACGGCCGAGTGTGTGCGGAGCCGGGAGCGACGGCGAGGACGGGAAAGCACGCGGTGAAGTGGTTTGTGGGGAGGCCCTGCGAGCTCTCCGCCTCGCACAGGCCCCCTGAGCGCGAGGGGGCAGCGGAGCCGCACCCGGACCCCGACTCCACCTCAGGCACCGGTGCCGTTTCTCTTCCAGGTGGGACCCCGTTCTCTGGAGCTGTTTTCAGGGACAGCCACCTGTTTCACGTGCGTGTGTGTGTGCATGTGTACACATGTGTGCAATTAATAACCGCTGACGGCTGAGACAACAGCACGGGCACCAGTGGACTGAGGCACTCTCGCTCTCAACAATAAGTATTAACCCTTTTCGGTCCAACCTCGAGGCTGACTCGACAGACCAGGCGCTAGAAACAGGTCCAACGTCGAGCAATAAGAACATTAAAAAGTTCAACATTCAATCCCGTCAATTAATTTGGACCAGACTGTTTGAATTCCAAAGATAACGTTGGACCACAAAAGGTTAAGGCCTACTGTGCGCAGACACTGCCACTCCCATCAGGTGCAGTGCTGAACCACACGCGCCCGCCCTCCTGGGCAAGCACTCCAAGGGGACCCCGGCCAACCAGTGAACAGGCTGGAGTGGGGCTCTGAGAGGAGCCCGCAGAGGGGAGGTGGGGCAGGCAGCTCTGCACTGAGACCCAAAGCCTGAGGCCTCCACAGGGATCTGGACGAGGCACGTCCCAGACAGGGAGCTGCGTGTCAGAGGCCCCGCTGGGCACGAGGCGTTGCCCACGACTGCGGGGCGGGAGTCACCCAGGACTACAGGGCGGGAGTCACCCACGACCGCGGGGCGGGGGGAGGCACGGTCACATCCAGGCTGCCCCATACAGGCTCCAGGTGAAGAGCGGGCAGGAGGGGCTCATGGGCAGGAGAACCGGCAGGGTGGGAAGGAGGAAGACGCTGGGCTTTCTGGCCATCCCCTGGGAGGAGCCGAGCACCTCATGTCCGTGCTGAGCACACGGTTATCTCCGGAGCGTCCCGTGCTCGTCTGGGGACTAACTCACTTATCAGATGGGGGCTGGTTCCAGAGGCATCGGAGTGAGTGTTCATTAGCGTCACCATCAAAGTTACCACAACAGGCTTGGTCGCTCTCCAGCCACAAAGAGGGAAAGGACAGGCGCAGGCCCGTGGCAGGGCGCCCCCCCCCCCCCCCAGGGTGGCGTTAGGGGCCCTGCCCGCCCTGGCATCTCCCCGCTGGGACTGAGCTGCGCGGCGGAGACAGTACCTCCCGGAAGTGGTCGCTGATCAGGAGTTCCAGAAGCTCCTCCTCGAATTTCTCAAGGGAGGGGTACAGCGTGAAGAACACCTCGTCCAGGTACCACGTGACCGACTTCTGCAGGCGCGGCTTCCGGAGGGCGTCACCTGGAACAACCAGACCCCGTTCCTGGGAGGTCAGACCAACCAGCAGGCGGAGGGGACAGCGCGGCCCTTACCCGCGTCCCGGG